TTTTTTTTTTTTTTTTTTTTTTCTTTTTTCCTCTAAGATTTCGAATTTTTTTTCATAAAAAGCAGCATTTCTGTCTGTTTAGCAGAGAGAGCAGAGAGAAGAGACTGGATTTAGTCAGGAATTCCTGCACTCTGCTTGTGAGGCTGTCTGTGACCTAAAATACRCTAATGTGAGGACTGCCGCAGCCGTCACTGCTCCTGAGCTGCCCTCTGCTCCCCAGCCACCGTTTGGCATCTCCAGCTGCAGAGAGTTTCATGCAGATAGATCGGTTGAAACCCTCTGGCCACCGAAATGCTGCTGCCTCTCTCACCGTTTCCTTTGCAAATCCAAGGAACTCGATCCCCCTAGGAAAATCTTCAGGAGCTGCTGGTGCTCTGCCCCTGCAAAGCCCTGCAGCGTTCAGCTTGTATCTTGCCCTGGGTTGAGCTGTGAGGGATAGCTTGGTGTTTTACATGGATGGTCACAGAATGGAAAATGAGTAAAATTAGCAGCTGAACTATTCCCCCTTTAAAACTCCATTTTTGTCCTTTTTCAGCCATACTCTCAGAATACAGAAATTCCAGTGAGCCTGCCTGGAAGAATAARATATCTATATCTGCCCTCAACACTTCAGAGCCAGCAATGATGCATGAACCCTTAGTTGGCAGCCAGAAGAGGAAAGCAAGGAAAACCAAGATCACCCATCTTGTCCGAACAGCCGATGGTCGAGTGTCACCAGCAGGAGGGACACTGGGTAAGGACATGGGAGCTTGAATTTTATTAAAACTTGAGTTGTTGGGCATGGTACTGGAGTATAAGTAAGCTGTCAAGAGAGTGCTTGGAAGTCAGCTTGGTTTCAGACCTGCTTTAGAAAGGTCATTTTGTAAAATGTAGATATCAATCGACTAAGAAATCAATCCAAAATGGTCTGCTTCTTATGTGTTAATGTCCAAATCTGTCTAAGTTGGCTGGATTTCTCTCTAAGATCTGAGAGCTGGGTGCAGAGGGGAGTGGAAAAAATACTTGTACATAGTGAGGGTGGTTGAACCCAAGTGGTTGGGCGCCCCTGTCACTGGGGATAGCCCAAAGTCAACTGGACGCAGTCCAAGGCAACCTGTTCTAGCTGACCTTGCTTAGGGAGGAGTCAGACTACGTGGTTTCCAGAGGTGATTCGGTGAAAAACTTGGCAGATAAATTGCACTCTGCCTAGTTACATGACATAAAAATATGCTTCGTAATGTGAAAGTCCATACCACATACTGTGCAGGAGTCCTCAGCAGCTGAGATAACCTTTCAGGATTTCTTCTGTATCTAAAATGTACGCAAAAAAGCACACTTTTTTGCCTGACCAGAGAAATGAAGCCCAGTCAACTGGGTTTGGGATTCAGAGAGCTGGGTGTGCTTCTGCCGATCAGCTTGGGTCACAACGGGCTGCAGCTCGGACAACAAAATGCAAAGCCTAAACTGGATTGCACAAACAAAATCCAAGTCCTAAACACAAAGTTCCTTTTAACATCAGTGCTCGTGTCTGGATATATTACTGAGAACATGGGCTCTGGCCTCGATGGTCCCATTTACCTGCARGCTTTGCTTTCTTTTGCTGCAGAGGAGAAGCCAAAAGAGCTGCCGCAAAGTACTCTTCAAAAAACGTCAAGTGCAGAAACAGACTGCAACAGTGAGTGCTCCAGAAACACAGAGTCAGAAGAAACTCATAGTATTACACCAGATATGCCAGCGGTGTCTGCATTTTTTAGCCTAGCTGCTCTGGCAGAAGTAGCAGCAATGGAAAATGTACACAGGTAAGCTCTTTTCCCGTGCTCTCTGAAGAGAATCTGCTTCACTGCCATCTTGTTCAAAGCGTGTTGCAAAGGTTTTTGCAAAGCAGTTGCGAAAGGTTTCATTTGGCCTCTCTGTTTCCTCTTCCACRGCTTTCTTTGAATGTTTATTTTATACCCATAGCTTAGTAGTGCCAAGTCCTCGCGTGATTGTCCCTGGAAAAACTTGCCTAGCAAGTTTTGTTTGTAAACCTATTGATCTGCTTCATGAGATCCAAAGGATTGAGGGTTTCKAATACCAGGTACTATTTGTCTGATGACAGCAGGCTTAAATAGCTACTGCCTGCCCCTTGTCTCTGCAGCCTAACCCTGTGGAGGSGCTTTCCTAAAACCTCAGCAGAAGGTGGAGGTTTTTGTTGTTGTTCTTGCCAAGCCTGGCTGAAGGAAGCAGGCCTGGTTTTTTGCTCTTGTGCTTCGCTGTGTAGCAGAGAGAGCATCTACCGAGTGTCCCAGGGCAGAGCAGTGCCAGGGGATGGAGCCACGTGAGCTTGGGCTGCGCCTCGTTGCTGCAGGACAGGCTGCACTGGGGCAGGGCAGGTGACCTGGCTCTCGTAGGGCAATTCCGCACAGTTGCATCCCGCATCCTAGTCCTCCGATGGGAACAAACTGGTGATGCCAAGTCGGCCTGTGCCGTCAGGCTGTGCATGGAGAGTTGCAAGATTTTTACAGGCTCAGGACTAAAGAAGCTAAAATCCGACAGACCCAGCCTGTCTTGCAAGACCCTGTTGTCTTGCGTAAGCAGCAGTGTTTGGGGCGAGAAATATTTGTTTCCATGCAGCAATCAGTGTGGCCTTTCTTCCCAGCTTTGCAAAGCACCAGTCTGTTATCAAGACAGCAAAGGTCTGAACTAATTTCTGTCTTCTTCTGTAGTCCAAAATAGCAAAGGGAGACCTGCCAAAGTGCTGTGCTGTGTCTCCCTCGCAGCATGGCAGTTTCATTGATCTTTACTGACACTGTGGCTAGAATTGCACAGGAGAGACAGGATTTGTTCAGTCATGTTTTATTCCTGTTTGTTTCTCTGAGAGTCCTTTATCCTTCTTTTCTGCCTGGTAAAGTGAGTGTCCTGGTTTAATGTTTTACACAGCGTTTTGCCTGTTGTCCTCTCACTTGCTTCCAGCTTTACCATCTCATCCTACACTTACARCAATGAAGCACCTTCCATGAGGCCTGAAAACAGCAACTGGGCAAAAATTTAACTACCCCTGCACACAACTTCCAGCTTCTCGTGGCACGGGAGACGGAAGTCAGCAGGGAGGGGACTCCTGCCTAGTAGAAACTGAGCCAGCTGTCTCGTGGAGACCTGGCCAGTGGAAGTCAGAGCAGAAACCCCAATTTGATGGGCCAGAGGCCTCTAATTTCTGTTCTGTGCTGACTCTTTCTTGTGCTTGCAACTTAGTTCTTTATTCTGACAGTAGCTGCGAGTGAGCAGGAGGACGGTGTTAGAGGCTTGTGTGATGTGTTTTTTTCAGTGTTGGAATTTAATTACTTAATAATTCTGCAGATCCTCGAGGCGTGGAAGACAAGCTCCTTTCTGCTGYAGTTAGAGCTTGGCACAAGTGACAGGATGATTTTCCTTTGGCTGTTTCTGTCTCGGATTGCTTGCCTTGCACGTGCCCACGTTCAGCACCGCGAGCCRGGGCTGCGTTCAGTGCCGAGGCCCTTCTAGTTGTGCAGCCCCATCTGTACCTGACGTCCGTGCTGAGGTCTTAGCCTGGCCAGGGTGAGGGGAAATGCAGGTCAGCAGCAGGTCCCCGTGTTTCATTGCTGTTCATGACCCAGCACGTGAGCCTGACTCGTGAGACGGGCTCAGGGTCGTGATGGGCTTGGGACATGTGTCCTACGAGGCCGCCTGGAAGGGAGTTCTCCGCGGGCCCCCCGTGCTGCTGGTTGGTGCTGGGTTCCAGCCAYAGTGCCGGTGCAGTTTGCTTCCCCGCTGGCCTGTGCAGGGCGGCGCTGCCGCAGTCACCCAGGAGAGAGGGCTTACTGCAGGAGGAGGAGAGGCCGCGCAGGGCTGCCGGGCCGCGAGGCCTGGCGCAGTCCCGGCGTGCGGCTCCGACGACACTTGTGATCCCACGGGGCTCCAAGGTTGGCTCTGGAGCGGCACTGACGCTGCTTGTCCCGCGGTGCCGGAGAGCCCTTCGGAGCGGAGTGTGGCCCACGTGCGTGCCCTCGACCCCCGCTTCGGCCGAGCGCCTYGGTCCCCGCACTCCAGCACTGCCTCGGCTGGGCCGGGCTGCGCTTCGGGTTGCGCTGCAGGTCGTCCTCAGGGCATTTCCCTCGTGCTGCAGGAGAGCGCGCGGGGCCGCCGCGCTCGGCGATGGGCTGTGCTGAGGAGGCAGCCGGACTGCGGCTCTGCAGCCCCCCTTGCTGCGGCTCTGCAGCCACCCTTGCTGCGGCTCTGCAGCCCCCCTGGTACAGCTCTGCAGCCCCCCTGCTGCAGCTCTGCAGCCGCCCTTGGTGCAGCTCTGCAGCCCCCCGGTACGGCTCTGCAGCCCCCCTGCTGCAGCTCTGCAGCCCCCCTTGCTGCGGCTCTGCAGCCCCCCTTGCTGCAGCTCTGCAGCCGCCCTTGCTGCAACTCTGCAGCTGCCCTTGCTGTGGCTCTGCAGCCGCCCTTGGTGCAGCTCTGCAGCCCCCCTTGCTGCAGCTCTGCAGCCCCCCTTGCTGCGGCTCTGCAGCCCCCTTGCTGCGGCTCTGCAGCCCCCCTTGCTGCGGCTCTGCAGCCCCCCTTGCTGCGGCTCTGCAGCCCGCCTTGGTGCGATTCTGCAGCCACCCTTGCCACAGCTCTGCAGCCCTCCTTGCTGCAGCTCTACAGCCCCCCTGCTGCAGCTCTGCAGCCCCCCTTGCTGCAGCTCTGCAGCCCCCCTTGGTGCGGCTCTGCAGCCACCCTTGCTACAGCTCTGCAGCCCTCCTTGCTGCAGCTCTGCAGCCCCCCTTGCTGCAGCCCTGCAACCCCCCTTGCTGCGGCTCTGCAGCCCCCTTGCTGCGGCTCTGCAGCCGCACTTGGTGCAGCCCTGCAACCCCCCTTGCTGCAGCTCTGCAGCCGCCCTTGGTGCAGCCCTGCAGCAGCCCTTGCTGCAGCTCTGCAGCAGCCCTTGGTGCAGCCCTGCAACCCCCCTTGCTGCGGCTCTGCAGCCCCCTTGCTGCGGCTCTGCAGCCCCCCTTGGTGCG